AAACTTCTTTCTTACCTAACAGTCCTTTTCCTATTTCTGATCAACACTGAAAAAGTCAAACCAATTTTATCCAAATAGGAAAAGCACATGAGCAAAGCCAGACTCCTGATTGGAAGGGCTGAGGATGCAAGCTTTAAATAGACACTGGTTCCTTTTTCCCTGCCCCTGTCCCTTCTTTTGGAAGTGCCACAAGACAAAGATGACTTGTAGGGCCAAGAGAAGCTTGAGAGTCAAGGCTGAAGGTCCTAAATTCTGGAGGCCCAGGCCCAAGGGCGCAGACTTTACCTCTGTGAAGGGAAAATCTGGCAGCATCCCCATCAAAGGGAGAGTGAACCTGAAAAAGAACTGAATAAATGGGGTACAATTTTACAAGGCTAACCTCTGTGTGTAAACTTGAGGCCTGTGTCCCCAGTGATCTTCAAAAACAAGTTTACATAACAAGCCTTTGTGTTGTCCCAGATAAGCGCGAGTAGAGGAACAGTCAGAATATTTTAAGGATTTAGAACCGCCTGAAATTTCCTGGGGGACTGTGAGGTTGGGAAGGAGTGAGGGGTGGGAGATGACAGGTTAAGCAATCATCTGTTTAATCTAGGGAGAAAAATGGTAACAACAGCAATAATAAAATAATTCCTTATATTTGTGACTCCTTGGTTTTATTTACAACAGCATTTTGAGAACAGACAAAAAAATGGATTAACACTGATTGCCTCTTCTTAGAGGGCACTGGGTAGCTTGGGGGACAAATGTGGAAAGATTTCTTTTACTGTATGCCCCTTCACATCTTTGAATTTTTGAAATTCTGAACCATGTGGATGAATTATCTATTCAAAAATATATAAAGGGAATTTTAAATGATTTGAAGTATGTCTATAGCTTCCAACAACCCTAAGAAGTAGGCAGAATGAAGATCATGAGTCCTATTTCACAAACAAGGAAGCCTGAGGCTCCAAGAAGGGGAAAAGAATTAGCCACAGTTTTGGCGGGACTGGACATACGACCCAGACCAGTTAGGACCCAAACTCCTAATCAAGTGTTCTCTTTCAGAGATTCCAAAATCTGAAAGACTAGAAGTACCCAGATTCACTCTTGGTGTTCAGTCTGCATAGCTGGTGCAGAAGGAATCCACATGGGGTAGGGCACAGGAACCAATCACCACATGCAGAGCCTTACTAACCAGCACAGCAGGCTATGTGAGCTGTTTGGGACTGGCTAGATGTTCTGTTAGCTGACAAATGCCCTGAAATTCATTGAGGTTTCAATCCTTATTGTTGAAAATCTATAAAATGCCCAAGTCCACATTCTTCTCTCAAAGTGTGGTGGCCACAACTGTACTTTTACTAAGTTGATTACTTGCAGAATATTTCAGGGTCATCATTATGAACTCAGAGGGACTCAGAAGAGTAGTCAAGTGTAAAAATGAGCACTTGGTTTAGAGGCCAGGCTGACTCTGCATTCAAGTCCTGGTTTTGCCACTGTGACCTAGTGTGTGACCTTAGGCATACGGGTCACTTATTTTGGCCTCAGCTTCCTCTCTATAAATAAAAATCAATTAACAGACGTATTAAACACCATCTGTATGACACTGTTGTAGGTGCATAAGTTCACTAATATGCAAGGCAAACTGGATCCCTGAGCTTCCAAGGAGCTGACATTGTACAGGGGGGAAACCAAGAAACAAAGTAATTTCAAGTCCTGATACGTGCTATGAACTTACCCTTGAACTTATCCCATAATGGGAAGGAGGGCCTGGGAGGCCAGTGAACACCTTTTTGAAGAGGTGGCATTCTCCAAGGAAGCCAAATGATGAAGCAGTGGTTACAATGGGATCTAGGGACAGATCCCCTTGGGACAGAGTATGACAGGCAGGGGCAAAAATATAAAAGGCCTGAGGCAAGCATGTTTGAAGGGCAGAAAGGGCTGGAAAGTAGTGAGTGAGGGGCAGAGGAAGAGAGTAGGTCGGCAAGGCACACAGAGGCCCATCTTTTCAGGTAAGGAGTTTGGATGTTACTCTGGTTGCACTGGAAAGTGACTGTAGAAATAAGGGGGTTGAGTTAGATCTGTGATGTTTCAAACTTTTTAATTTTTTGGCAGCAGAATTCTTTAATCAAATAAAAACAAGTGGAACCTCAATATAAAACTAGATAAAAGTAGTACTGTTCTGTGTGAGAAGCTTCAGGCTCTTCTGAACCTGTGGTGTCTTGGCTTTCCCCCTTTACCCCGAGCACTGGAGCTTAGAGGAACTGGAAAACCACAAGGTAATCTACCTCTAAGGTTCCCCAAGTTCTAACAAAAGCCAGCATTACAGGGAAAGGAGGTTTAAGAGATCACACTGGATGCTTATTGGACACCCGACAGACCCTGGGAAGGTTTCAAATTAAATCCCTGATATGGACCTGCTTCTGAAGAAACAATAAAATCTGGCTCATCAAAGATTCCAGTTAAAATCACACTGCTGAATCTATAGGGACAGAAAACAGATCAGTGGTTGCCAGAGCCTGGAGTGAAGGTAGGACAATGACTCCAAGGGATACAAGGGAACTTTCTGGGTTGATGGAAGTATTCTCTATACCTTGATTGTGGTGGTGGTTACAAGACTGTATACATTTGTCAAAGTTCGCAGAACTGTACACCTAAAAATGGATGAAGTTTACTGTGTGTAAATTAAACCTCAGTAATCCTATTGTTTTAAAATTACATTGATGGAAGACACCTCAGAGGTATTTTATGGACGAGGAAACACTCAGGGAGAAGAAAAATGATTTACTCCTGATGAGTCAGTAGATCCCAGAAATCCTAACTTGAGAGATTGTCCCCCACCCACTGCTGCTCAGTTTTAATTCAGAGCCTCTTCAGTACACTGGGCTTCAGGTTTCTCTGAGTTCAAAATGAGGAGGTAAATAATTGCCAAAGGCTTTTACACTCCAATCAGATCTAAAAAGCAGTCTGGTGAAGGGGGAAGACCTCAATGCTTTGGAGTCATAAAAACTGGAAGAAAAATTCCCACCTTCTGTCACTTACTAGCTGTGCACTCTGGGGCAATCCTGTCCTATGTGAGAAGGGGTTAATAATAAGAACCCATCTGTAAAACAACTGACACAACAGACTCTCAAGAAGGGCAATGATTATAACTATTAAGGGTTTTACCATACCTACACTGTTCTCCCATTCCCAGTCCCACCCAGCTGCCTCCTAAGAACAATCTGGAGGTGACCATGAGGAAAAGAAATAACAAACTGCCTGTTCTGCGTTGCATAACCTGTGCTCAAGTACACAGTACACCCTAGGCTCCAAAGGGGCACAGGTTGTTATCTCGCCAAGTAAACAGGAACACCCTGCGCCCTCCTTGACCACTGCCAGCATGGGCCACCACAAACACTGGAGTGGGAGCAGGCTGACAGCTTGTGAGAACATCACTGTTGTTTATTCCTATATTTTAATACTCCACTTTCCCTGGTGGCTGCTGGCATCATCACAGGGGACAAACTCGCCCATGGATACATGTTATCCAACCCAAATCCCTTCTCTCACCACCTGCTCTAAAGGGGTGGTCCCAAATAATAACTCAAAGCTGTCTGCCACACCTTGCTCTTTTTTTCTATCCCAAGGAGACAAAAACAAACAAACAAAACAAAAAACCCAGAAACCCAAAAGATTATTTAAAACAAAAGCAAAAAAAAAATCCTTCAGGCAGGTAGTTTCTGCTTCCACTGTCACATCTACTCTAGATGCACTGTGCTCATGTAAAGACTGTTGGCTTACTTTTTCTCCATGATGGGGCAGGAGGGAGGCAACATTGAGAAATTATCCAAATTTTGCACAAACAAGGAGCTAAGTATCCAGGCCAAAGGCAACCCATGAGCAGGCTTAAGGTAGACCAAGGAGACAGAACTCCACATCATCAGGGCTCAACCGACTCCAATGACCCTGATTCAACTTCTTGCTCCTGCCCAGTGCTCTTAAGAGTTGTCCTAAAGAGCATGGGAACTGAAAACCATGAAAGAATGAAAAGTACAGTGCAGTTAAGTTACTGAATAAGAACAAGGCTCTATCCTGATCTTGGTCTCCTACTCTATTAGAGGGGGCTGACAACCAGATTAAGAAAGACTGATTCGTTAATCAAATATTATGTATCAAATCATTGCCAGAACATTGTGACAACTACATCCTGCTATTTCTGTTTGGAGCCACTGCCAAAGATTGGTCCTCTCCCCTACCTTCCGGTAGCTGTGAAGTTTTCAGTTTCTAGCAAACTCCAGCTGGGGGAGGGGACCCAGTGCTGGCACTAGTCGAGTCAAGTTTCACCATTAGGTCCACAAAGAGGCTGAAGGGAGGCGTGGCCAGGCCGGAAATTCTGACAAAAAGTTTTGGCCCTCTGGTCCCAGAAGCGACTACTTCCTGATCCCTCCTAGTCGCGGGGCGGGTGTAGTTTTCTCGCTGGGTTCCCCACCCGAGGGCCGAACTGGGGGCTTTGAGTGTATTGGGAAGGGGTCGGGGCCAGCCGGGCGTTCTTCTGTCCTCGGCACTCCGAGGCGCTCTGCTGCCTTCCACTGGAGAAGTTATTTTGGAACAAAGTCCCCCAGGGTGCGAGCTCGCGAGGGCAAGGCCTCCTCCTTTGCACTACCGCACCCCCACCACCACCACCCACACACCAAAGTCCCCCAGGGTAAGCTCGGGTGGACAGGGCCTCCTCCTTTGCATTATCCCGAACACACACACACACACACACACACACACACACACACGCCCGGCGCTTTGCGTACTGAACCTGGCCCAGACTCCAAGGCCCAGGCCTACTCCGACAGGAGGAAGGAAGGAAAAGCAAAACGGATTTACCAGACACCTCAGAACAATTCTGGGCGCTAGCTGCGGCCCCCGCCCCTGCTGAGGGAGAACCTTCCAGGGGCCCTGGCCGCCCCCAGTGACAGTCGGAGCCCGTGCTGCGCAGCGGCCGGAGGGGGCCTGGCCAACCCGGCGCGGCGACCCTAGGCCGGGCCTCCCACCTTGACCCGCTTGCCCTGGATCTCCAGCGTCTTCATGGTGAAGTCGACGCCGATGGTGCTGCTCTGGCGCTCCGAGAAGGCGCCGGTCTTGAAGCGCTGCACCACGCACGTCTTGCCCACGCTCGCGTCGCCCACCAGCACCAACTTGAACAGGAAATCGTACTGCTCGTCTGGGTCCCCTGGGCCTGGGCCCGGCCCCGCCATGGCCGCGCGGGAGCCAAGAGCCGGCACTCCAGACGCTGAGGGCGGCCTGGGCTCACGGAAGCCGCGGGCGCCTGGAGAGACGTGGAGCCGCCGCAACACCTGAAGCAGTGGAGCAGCCGACCGCCGGCCCGCCCCCTGGCCCGCCCCC